CTCCCCACATACCCCACCCTCCCCCACAGACCCCATCCTTCCCTTTTGAGATTCCTCTTCTGAGCTCCTCCCCCCAGAAGCTAACACTCATGGCACGAGAGTCTTGTTAATAAGTAGGGGCCTATTTGACCTACTGAGTCTGTTGACGGATCATTTTTTTAAATATATTTTTATTGATTTCAGAGAGTAAGGCAGAGGGAGAGAGAGAGGAACATCAATGACCAGAGAGAATCATTGATCGGCTAACTCCTGCACTCCCCCACTGGGGAATGAGCCCACATCGGGCATGTGCCCTTGGCCGGAATCGAACTGGGGACCCTTCAGTCTGTGGGCTGACGTTCTATCCACTGAGCCACACCGGCCAGGCTCACTTTTCCAACTACTGGTTTCCCTCATTTCGGAAGGTGGAGGTTCCAGGAAGCCTTTTGTCACCCCAAATGGCAGGGTGAAGGCGCCGTCTCTGTTGAGCTCACAGGGAGGCGTTCCTGAGCTCAGAGCCCCAGAGCACCAGACAAACGTCCCCACAGCAGGCCGCTGAGCGGCACGCGGGCCCGCGGCAGCCAGCGCGGCTGCAGAGGCGGATCATAGGGCGTTGGCGTCGCCGCCTGGGAGGCCAGAGGCTGGAGCTGCGCTCGCTTTTCGCCTTTTCTCTAAGCGGAGCCTCCGGGCTTCCTTCCGGCAGTGAAAACAGGTGTGCAAGCAGGTGCTCATGCAGGGCTTCCTAAGCTGCAGGGCTTCCCTAAGCTGCAGGGCTTCCCTAAGCTGCAGGGCTTCCCTAAGCTGCAGGGCTTCCCTAAGCTGCAGGGCTTCCCTAAGCTGCAGGGCTTCCTAAGCTGCAGGGCTTCCTAAGCTGCAGGGCTTCCCTAAGCTGCAGGGCTTCCCTAAGCTGCAGGGCTTTCCTAAGCTGCAGGGCTTCCCTAAGCTGCAGGGCTGCGCTGCCGTTCTCCATGGTGAGCTCAGAGGCCGCCTCCCGGGAGGTGCCTGCGCCGCCCCTGCTGGCGGCGAGGGCGCCCGCGCCCAGAAACCTTGGCCCCCGGGTCCCCCTGGGGCTGGGCGGTCACCACACCCGCAGCTGCCTGGGTGCCTCCTGGCCTGGCCCGCAGTGTGGCCGGAGCTGGCCGTGTGTGTGTGTGTGTGTGTGTGTGTGTGTGTGTGTAGTGTGTGGTGTATGTGTGTGTGTGGTGTGTGTGTAGTGTGTGAATGTGTAGTGTGTGGTGTGTGTACGTGGTGTGTATGTAGTGTGTGAATGTGGAGTGTGTGGAGTGTGTGTGTGGTATGTGTGGTGTGTGTGCAGTGTGTGAATGTGTAGTGTGTGGTGGTGTGTGTGTGTGTGTGTGCATAGTGTGTGAATGTGTAGTGTGTGTGTGTGTGTGTGTGTAGTGTGCGTATAGTGTGTCAGTGTGTAGTATGTGTAGTGTGTGTGTGGTGTGTGTAGTGTGTGTGTAATGTGTAGTGTGTGTAGTGTGTGTGTGGTGTGTGGTGTGTGTAGTGTGTGTAATATGTAGTGTGTGTAATGTGTGGGGTGTGAGGGGTGTGTGTGTGTGTGTGTGTGGTGTGTGTAGTGCATGGGATGTGTGTGTGTGTGCGTGTGTGCCTGTGTGTAGTGTGTGTGTAATGTGTGGGGTGTGGGGTGTGCATGTGTGTGTGCGTGTGTGTGTAGTGTGTGTGTGTGCTTCCTTCCGGTGACAGCGGCTCCTGGGCGAGCCGGCCCCTGCCTGGCCTCGGGGTGAGGGAGGGGCTCTCAGAAGCAGACAGACCCTGTGCCAGGGGGTTTACCAGTAACGTGGGCAGGATGACCAGCTAGTCCTAATGTAAACCCGTGTTCAAAACAGAGGCCCCTGGGGACGTGGCCAGTGGCATTCTAATGGCACGGATGGTGCCGGGGTTCCCTGGTAAGGCTCGTGATTTCTAACCAGGACATTGTCCCCGGAAACGAACACGCATTGTGTCTCAGCTGTCACGGGAAATGATGTTTAATGGAGGCACCACATGGAGATAAGACGGCCCGGCAGGAGCGCTCAGGAGGGTGACGGGTGGCTCTGAGCTGGCCGTGGGGGCGCAGCGGGGGCTCCAGGAGAGGGAGGACTCCTGAGCGGCGCCGTGGGCAGTGGGCGGGCGGAGGAAGGCGGGGAGCGTGCCAGGGGGACGCGCCCTGGGCGGGGTAAGAAGGAGGGAGCGGCGGGTTCCGGGGGTCGGCCGTGGGGAGCCTCGTTCCCTGGGGAAAGTCGGGGGTTGTCTCGAAGACAAGCAGTCGCTGCAGCTGCAGCAGCCCCCCACGGCCTCCTGCCTGGAGCTCCGGCGATGACTGGGAGGGGGAGGACTGGTGCCCGAGCGGGACAGCAGGAGCGCCTGTGGCCGCGTTGACCGGTGCAGCTGGTACGTGGACATCGACGCAGGACACAGACCTGCACGGCTCCCTCTCTGCCTGCTGCGCCCTCCTCGCCTGCCCCGCAGCACCCCCCTTCCTGAGGATCGGACCCGGGTGGAGCTCAGGACCCCCAGTTCAAAAGTCCAGTCTGATCCAAACTCCATCTCACATCGACTGCAAAGCCTCCCTGAGGCCTGCCCGCGGGCTCGGGGACTGCCCGGAGGAGACAGGGCAGCTCCCCCCCGCCCCCCCCCCCCAGCCCTTTGAGCCTGACCGCCCTCCCTCCGCGGGGAAGAAGGGGTGTCCCAGCGGTGCCTCTCACATGTCCCCCCCGATGGCTCTGGTCAGGGCTCAGGTGAGCCGTTCAGGCCCCGAGGGGAGGGGCACCGCAGGTATCCGCTGCGGGCACCACATGCCCGCCCTCACCCCATGTGTGATACGAAGCAGCCGCTGCTGGGCCCTCCGTCTGCGTACAGCAGTCCACCACGGCCTCTGCCTGCCCTGGCCCACAGGAAATGCCCTTGGGCTCACTGCCTTCAGAGGCTCTAAGCTTGCCCCTCAGGAAATGCCAGTCCTGGCCTGACCCAGGCGGGTGTGGGGACAGTCACTGCCGCCCTCTCTCCCTGCCCACCTCACCCTCATGGTGGCCTGGTTTTCAGAGATTCCGGTCAGGAGGAACATCGGCCTTATGCCCACAGGCCCCCACTCCCCTCGGGGCTCTGAGAAGCCTCCAGCCAGGAGACACCAGCTCCCCTTCCCGCTGGAGCCCCGGCAGGCCCTGGGGGGGGGGGGGGGGGGAGCCACAGCTCTGGCCTGACTTCCCTTTATTCATCGCAATTCTCTCCTCACACCTCCGCCTCCCGTGGGTAGAGGTGAGGAAGGGACGATGACAGGTTGCACGTGCTGTCCCTCGTTGCCGCGTGGGTGCGTCGGGCGGCTCCGTCTGGAGCATGAGGGCCCCCTGGGCTCCCCGGGGCTTTAGCCAGACCCCAAACAGGAGGAACCCCTGCCTTTCCGTCCCATTTGCGAGGCGGTGCGGCAGACGCCCAGCCCTGCGCCGTGCGTGCGGGGACGCCGTGGGGGACCGCACCACTGCAGACGTGTAGCAGCGCCCACGCCCTCTGCCCTGGTCTGCCCGGGTGACAGCTCAGGCGCGGCCAGACCTTGGGGAGCGGGGGCGGGCAGAGCAGCCTGTCCCGGTGAGAGCGCTGCCGAGCGGATGCAGGGAGATAGAGGAAATGACTGAGCGAGGAAGTCCCCTAGAGCGAAACCCAGGGCCGCGGTGGCCTCACTGGAGGGTATGACACCAGGGTCCAGGCCAGGAAGTGGTTGCTGTGTGAGTGTCGGTGACCCGCTGGGGAGTGAAAGGGCTGTGGCAGCCTGCCTCCGCCTCCTGCCCGCCACGAAGGCAGGAGGGCCTGTGTCTGAGGAGCTGGGACTGCAGCCCTGGCTCCCGCAGGCGTTGGGCAGGGAGTGCCTTGTGAACGCTGGACAGGGAGGCCCCAGTGACATCAGACAGACAGCCCTGCTCTCTGGAGCACAGGTCTGCACACAGTAGGGCTCTGAGGGCGAGCTGGGAGCTGCTCTCTTTCCCCTCTAAGAGCAGGTGACGTGGGGGAAGTAATAGTGGAAACTGAAGTGGGTCGTCCCAAGAAACCTCCCGCCAAAAGGCCATCTTTGCTTGGCCTTATGCTCGATGCCCCCATCGGACGAGGCCCTGTCTGCTGGTTATTCTTAGGAGGAAAACACAAACAGAAAAGCCAGCTGACTCTGAAACACAGGGCTTCCTCCCAGTCTCTGCAGGGGCTGCCCCTGGGGCCAGCCCCTCCACGAGGACCCGGGCATTGCTCCCCCTTCTGGGAGGCTGGCTCCGGCACGGAGGTCAGCTGTGTGATGTGACTGCTCAGCCCTCCGCTTTCCATGGGAAGTGAAAAGTAACGGGAACCGCTCCTGTGCACAGAAGCCTAGCTTTCCAAGAACATCCGGGAAGGTCCCGGCCCTCAGAGAGAGAGGCTGTCCTCACTCAGGGTCCGGCTTCTGGAGGAGGCCACACACTGAAATGGAGAGAGACTGGAAAAGAGTTAATTTGGGACAAATGGGGGGCCAGGCGGGAGTCAACCTCTGTGGGAAGACTACCACCAGGCTCTGGCCTTGCCATCCCTTTTATTGAGGCTGTGGGATACACCCATTACCCTTAAGCAGCTTTGGGAAACACCCATAGCCCTCAGGCAGGTAATAAGCGGATTGTCATATCAGTAAGGATTTACATGATTACAAGGTGGGGAAGCTGCCTCAGTTACCATTGTCTCAATTAGATAGGGAGTGTGGCTCTGACCTTTCAGAGCTTCAAGGTTGACCAGCCTCTTTCTATTAGTGAGACAATGATTGGTTTCCGGCACTCCAGCATGCCAACCCCAGCTCAAAGGCCGTGTGTAGAAAGGTTCTTTATTATAAACATCACGTTCCAGGAGCGGAAGGGGCGGGTGGGAAGTGCAGGCGTGAGGGCGGGACCGGGCCCCACACGCCTGCCCGGCTGCGCGGGCGGGGGTCAGGTGACCTGCAGCGGGGGTCAGGTGACCTGCAGCGGGGGTCAGGTGACCTGCAGCGGGGGTCAGGTGACCTGCAGCGGGGGTCAGGTGACCTGCAGCGGGGTCTCCAGCATCTCCATGAGGAAGGTGTCGATGGGTGTGTCCCCGATGAGCTTGAAGAAGAAGAGGTGCTCCAGGCACTTGAGGCCGATGGAGCGCAGGGCGGGCAGGCGCAGCAGCAGCTTGGCGAACCTGCGGGGACAGAGGGTCAGACCCCGCACAGCTGCAGGGCAGGGCCAGGGGCATGGCCAGGGGTCAGGGCCAGGGGTAGTGCCAGGGGCAGGGCCAGGGGCAGGGCCAGGGGTCAGGACCCACGGCAGCCATAGGGGCGGGGCCAGGGGGCAGGGCCAGGGGGCAGGCCACTGGACCCTTGCTCCCACAGGGATAAGGCAGCAGAGAACCTAACCCCAGGAGCAGGAGGTGGGGGGGGGGGGCGGCAGAGAGGGCTGGAAGGGAGACATCTTCTTAAAGGGGACACTTCCGATGGGAAGAGTCCCAGCGGGAATCTCGGCACCCTGAAAACACGTGCTTCTGTGTACATGCCACAAGGAAATGTGTCAACATAAGGAACATAGACCACCCCGGGTGCTTCTCGCATGGAAAAACCTCAGTCTGTGCCCAGGCCGACACGAACCTTCCCGCGTGCGGTCACACAGCCGGGGGCGTGTGGAAGGTGCCGCGTGCGGGCAGCAAAGGGCGGCTGGGGGAAGGCGAGGCTGAGCCAGAAGCTTTTACAGAATTTGGCAAAGGACATGGCTTCTCTGTAAAGTGCACAGCCAGACTGACTCTGGAAATGCTGTTTTAGGCTGCAAATGCCAGCTCTACAGTTGGAACCTGCTGAGTGTGCTGTACTGTGGCTCTCTGCTGTCTGTCCTGGATGTCGGAGCTGAGACGGGGACCTGGAACTAAAGTCACAGCCTGGGATCTGCCTGCTGTCCCGCTTCCAGTCTGCCCCGGCCGGCGGCAGTATTCTGAAGTGTCCACAGGGTGGCAGCACTGCACCACTGAGAGCCAGGCCTCCCCACCCCTGGATGCCCTCCACCCTTTTCTGCATTTCCCCACCAGGCTGAGCCCGGGCCAGCCCGGAAGGAGCTGCTCAGCCTCAGGGTGGTCACCCTTGAACTTCTCCCTGAACTCCCAAGCTCTGCCCAAGCGCAGGCCCCTGGCAGCCGCTCTGGGAAAAACGGGCAGGTTGCAGCATTTTTTAAGGGACAGTCATAGAAACAGCCGGAATGCCAAGCCGGGGCAGTGACTATACATCAGGACACACACCCTGTGAAGTCCGACGGAGCCGTGGGAAGCAGTGACATGGTTTTGGACACCCGATGACACGCCTGGAATGGCTTTGGGAGGGAGAGCCCTCCAGGCTGTGTAGCTTCGGGCTGTAAGCGCTCCTTGTCTACATAGGAGACTGGGAGGAAATACACCCCAAACTCACATCCACATTACTCCGTTTCATGTGCTAACATATTTTCCTTGTTTCCTACCAAAGCTTGCTCTGCTCTTGTAATTAGGAATAAGCAAGGTTTGGTTTCCTGGGGTTTGGGGTAGTTGTGGGTTGGTTTAAGATAAACACAACTAGAGCCATTCTGAGAACAGGCTGCAGGTGCGCTTCTCCCAACGCCTGCACACAGTGTGCTCACAAACGCCAGTGTGTGCTCACAAACACCAGTGTGTGCTCACAAACGCCACAGTGTGTGCTCACAAACACCAGTGTGTGCTCACAAACGCCACAGTGTGTGCTCACAAACGCCACAGTGTGTGCTCACAAACACCAGTGTGTGCTCACAAACGCCACAGTGTGTGCTCACAAACACCAGTGTGTGCTCACAAACGCCACAGTGTGTGCTCACAAACGCCACAGTGTGTGCTCACAAACGCCAGTGTGTGCTCACAAACGCCACAGTGTGTGCTCACAAACACCAGTGTGTACTCACAAACGCCACAGTGTGTGCTCACAAAGGCCAGTGTGTGCTCACAAACGCCAGTGTGTGCTCACAAACGCCAGTGTGTGTGCTCACAAACACCAGTGTGTACTCACAAACGCCACAGTGTGTGCTCACAATCGCCGGTGTGTGCTCACAATCACCGGTGTGTCCTCACAAACGCCAGTGTGTGCTCACAAACACCACAGTGTGTGCTCACAATCGCCGGTGTGTGCTCACAATCACCGGTGTGTGCTCACCAACGCCAGTGTGTGCTCACAACGGGAAGGTTGCCTCAGGGCTGCATTCAGCAGAATCCCCCACACGCTGAGGGCACAGGCACCAGGCCTGGTTTTGGGCCCTTCAGTCTCACCTGCAGCAGGAGATGCTCCTGTCTGTCCGCCAAACCCCTGCCCTCCCTCCCCCCAGTCCTCCCTCGCTCTACCCTCCTACTCCTCTGCCATCCCTCCGTGGCTATGGCACTGAGTGGCCATGTGACCAAGTTCTCACCCATGGAAGTGAGCACAGGGAGGGTCTTTCTAGAGGGAGCGGCTGCCCACAGGCGCCACCTCTGGTTCTGTTGGGTTTGATGGAGACTTGAGTTGATACCCTCCCCGGGAGCTGGCTTTTCAGGCCATTTCACTGTGGACATTGCCTTTGCTGCCACCACATCGTTATCCCCCCTCCAGACAGGCACAAAGCAGCTCCGCCCAGAAAAATCCCACCGAGTCTTTTAAAGCCGCTGACTCCCCTCACGGGGCCGGAGCCATCCCGGCTCAGCCACCTGGTGTGCGGATGATCAAGTAAATTCGAGATCCCTCGCCACTCGCCTCGTGCACTCCTCGACCGAACAGCTCCGGGTGCACGGAGCAGGAAGCTAGCAGCAGGGCCGGTGGGGCACGCAGTCCCTCTCACAGCAGCGGACTGATTCGCGTGTCAGCGTGGAGCCTGGGTTTGCTCTCTGGTGGCATTTGGGAGGTCTGCGGCCCTGGGCACCCCCTCACACCCGTTTCCGTAGCCCCTGGCTGGGGCCACCGCTCGGGGCAGTTCCAGCCTCCGACAGACAGAGGCCCGGCCTCTGGCCAGTGGACAGGAGCTGGTGTGTGACCAGGAAAGGGCTTCGCAGAAATCCGCCCTCACCCAGACACCGGGGAGAACTGGGAGCCTAGAACAGTAATGCTAACACCAACGTGGATGTCTTCAGGGCAGTTTTTCAAGCTTTGCCTTCAGTTTCCTGTGAGATTTGAGACGTGAGCAGCTGAGGAGGGGAGCTCTCACTCAGCTGTGCTTCGGGGGAAAGGTCTGAGTGAAGAGCTCTGTGGTCTGGGAAGATCGGCGAGGGCGACGGCCAGCTGGTCTGAGAGGTCCTGGCCAGCGTCCTCCTCAAACAAGGAGCCCAGGCCCAGGCCAGCTCGCTGGAGGCCACCAGGGCAGCCCGCGACCAAGGTCACCTCTGCTGGCTACAGAGCCGTCTCCGGCAGGGACTGCGGGCAGGCGGAGCAATGCGGGCCCTGGCAATGCCAGCCCTCTGGCACCAGGGAGGCCTGGGCTCCTGTCCAGCCACATCCCCTCCCCCCACACACACACCCTCCCCGCACACCACTCTGTGTGACCTTGGGCAGCTCCTGCCTTCCTGAGCTCCGTGCCCGCTTAGAAATCAGAGACAATGAGACCCACACATCCGTGCACCTGCTAGTGCGTCCGGCGCTTAAAGACGGACCTCTGGGCACGGCCTGGGCTCTGCATCCCGGAGCTGGCCGGGGGTTAAGTTCCATTTGGGACACTCTCCACCGTACCTGCGGCCACTGCCTGCCTTGAGGCCAGCCTCCCGCGCCTCACCTGCCTGGCTGGTCCGGGTACTTCTGCTTGGTGTAGGCCTCGAGGGTGGCGTAGACCTTCTCCCGGAGGCTCTCCACCTCAGAGGGGTTGGACAGACCCTTGGCATCTGGAACAGACGACTGATTTAAGCTCCGGTGACGCCCTCCGCAGAGGCGGCCCCACCCCCACACCTCACCTCCCACCCCCCACCCCCACACTCCCACCCCCACACCCCCACCTCCCACCCCCCACCCCCACACCCCCACCCCCACACCCCACCTCCCACCCCCCACCCCCACACCCCACCCCCACACGCCACCTCCCACCCCCCCACTCCCACACCCCCACCCGCAGTCACCAGACGCCCACGGGAGGGAGCAACTGGGAAACATTGACCCCAGACGGCAGGGCCCAGGTGCCCCCAGCCGGCTCCCAGGAGGAGTATTCCCTCATCTGGGCCATTCCAGAAACAGTCCCTTCACGTGTGGGCCTACTGTGTGCTAAGCATGGACTCAATGATGAGATGGTACAAAGCCAGAGACCGGGGCCCACACCAATGAAATGGGCACCGACTACAGTTCCCAGAGTCCATTCCCCCCTCCCCACCACCACAGGCAGCTGGGAAGCCCGCACCTCTCCCCCTGACACCCCCTCTTCCTGCCTGCAGGTCACCAGGACACCATCGCTGCTCCCGCACGCCCCCCCCCCCCGTTCCCCACCCCACCCCCCACTCTACCCCCACCCCCCGTCTCCCTGGTGTCCCTTCTCAGGCACTTTCTGAACCTTCCTCTCCTCCAGGTTCTCACCCCCCGCCCCACGGCCCGCTTCCACCAGTGAGAACTCCCCTTTCCCACCTGCTCAGGGAAACGAAGCCAAGAGCTCTGAGAACCGTATCTAACCCCTCTCTTCCTGCCATCGGCACATCCACATCTAATCCATCGGCAAATCCTGGGGCTTTGCCTGAAATTCCGTGCTGACTCTGCCCACCTCCCCCGCTGCCACCACGGCCACTGCCATCTCTCCTCTCCCCCACCCGAACACCCACACCCACTCAGGACTTTCCAAGGCAGCGCTGGAGCGGAGGCCGTGAGGAGCCGCCGGGCCCCCGGTCAGCCTCGGGCCCGGCGTCCCGGCCCGGGGAGCTCCGGCCGGCGTGCGGCGCTGCGGGTCCGCACCACGCCGCACCTGGGTTGAACAGCACGATGGCGCGCAGGCAGCCCAGCTCCGACTTGTCCATCTGCATGTCTTTCATTTTGGAGACCAGCTCGGTCAGGACTCTGTCCCAGGAAACACGACAGGCGACATGAGGTCAGGACAGCGAGCACGAGCGACATCTCCCCTGCACCCACCCCATGGGCGGACGATGCCCGGGGACATGGTTAGCCCGGGGAGAACAGTGCGGCCTCATCTCAGACCCGGAAACACGCAGCGGTGCAGAGCCAGGGCCGCGTCCAGGGCCCACAGGGCGGTGACTCAGCTGGAGAGGCACCTGGGGTTGGAATCAGTGGAAATGCCACAGGCCGAGCAGAGGCCGGCAGGTGGGAACACAGCGAGTGGGACAGCACGCAGTGACTGGAGAAGCCTGCAGGCAGGACGGGCCGGAGCCCACAGAGGACCAGGCCGGTCTGCATGGACCACGTGGTGAGGATGACTCAGGAGAGGTGGACCTCACGTGGCCACGGACCGACTATGATGGAGGTGGGGGGCGGTTGGGGGCCTTGCACTCGGACAGAGACCTCCTCTCTCCTGTCCTTCGTCCTCTCACCAGAGCCGTTCACCTCTCATTCCCCTCGCCCCTGAGCACACGCTGACTCCCCCAGCAGCATGTGGGGTGCGGAACCCCAGACAGAGGCCGTCACCACCGGACCTGAGATCCTGGCCTGTCCCCTCGGGCCCGGTCCCGGCACCCTGCCCATCCCACCCCGAGGAGAAGCAGGTCAACACCCCCACCCCCACAACACCAGCCTCTCACCCCACAGGGGTCACGGGTCCCCCTTTTGCCCGAGACCGCTCCGCCTCGCCGTCTCAGCCTTTCTCTTCCTCCTCCCTCAGCCTCCAGCCCACATTCTCACTGGTCCTGGGCTCTGCTTCTAGCCAGTCCACCCACATCCCATCACTGCCCACAGCACATGTGCACACATGCATGCACACACACATGTGCACAGATGAAGGCACACACGCACGCGCACACACACGACGGCGCAGGAGACACACCTGTCGAAGATGGAGCCCACGCCGGCGCTGTGGGCGCTGCTCCGGTGCACGTGCAGCCCGGTGGCCAGGAGGATGCCGTCCTGCACGGAGACCGAGCGGTGCGAGAAGGAGGCGATCAGAAGCTCGTTCCACCCTGCGGACCAGAGGAGGCGTGAGGGGCGGTCTGATTCATGGAAACCCCCGGAGACAAAGCCGGACGGCAGTTCGCGAGGTGAAATGCTGGGGTTCCCTGGCTCATGGCTCCCCCACAGCCTCCCCAGTGCAGCCCGGAAGGCCAGCTTGAGGTCAGGGCTCTGCTTCCCCCTGTCCATCAGCAACTATGGGCTGAACGTGGGGCAGGAACAGCACTGTGTCCGCTGGCACTGCAGGGCTCAGAGCGGCGGGTGTCTGTGGGGAGACTGGGGCGCTGGCCGGCTCGGAGCTCAGGTCAGCTGGGGCTCCGTGTCTCACGAGGACGTGGCTCCCGGCCTCCGCCAGCCTTCACGGCGCCCGCCTACGGCTTGGTGAGGAAGAGGCCTGGCAGGTGGCAGCTGTCCGTGCCCCAGAAATGGAAGCCGCAGAGGGCGCGGCACCAAGAACCTCAAAATAGGAAGGGCCGGGCGTCTGGGCCACGCCTGCGCCTAAGCTGGTGGCACCCCGCCGCCCTGAGGGTGGGAATGTCTGCACCCCCCGTTTTCAGTGTGGCTCCAGGCTGGGGTGAGACCCAGAGGCTGACCTGTCTTCGGGAGTGAGCCGCCAGCTAGGACCCGGGCACATTCACGTGCAAGAGTCACTCCTCTGCCCCAGGGACTGTCCCGTCTGGGGAGGTCCCCCCACGTTGAGAGCCTGCGGATCACCCAGAGAAGGAGCCGCCCCCACTATCCGGCCCTCAGTGGGCACCCCACCACCACCCCGCAGCAGGCCGGCCCTACCTGCACGGAGCAGGATGACCTGGTCCTCCAGCGTGAGGCCCGCGAAGTGGGGGATGCGCTTGGCCCATTCCACCAGGGTGAACAGCTGCTTGTCGGCCGCGTGGCAGATGTTGGTGACCGGGTCGTTGGTCTGAAACGGGACAGGCTCTGGGGCCGGAGTCGGGGCCCCGCGCGCCCTCCCTCCGCCTCACCACCCCTCCACCCCGGGCCGGGCATGGCCGGCGCCCGGGCACCTACCGAGCTCTCCATGCTCAGGTCTCCGTAGGCCTCCGTCTTCGGCTCCACGGCCAGCTCGGCCTCCAGGATCCGCTCCACCGGCATGCCTTCCTGGGCGCCGCCCGCGCACTCCGCCTCGCTCTCCGCCCGCTCCCGGCTCCTCTGCCTCTCCTCCTGCACGGCTGGCACACGGGGACACGCGGATGGCACCCGTGCCAGGAGAGCAGTGCGAGGGGGCGGCCTGCCTACGTCTCCTGTGTAGGTGGGCGTCACCTCGGTGCTGAATGGGTGCCTTGGTGCTGACACGGGCTACCTGCTCACACCGGTGCGGCTACGCGGGCCTGGAGCCCACGTCCTCCACAGTCGGGGTGGTGACGACCCTAGGAAGTCTGCCTCTGAAGCTCTGACCACCTCTCATCTGCCCCCTCTTCCCGAGCCACTCTCCTGTGCCCGCAGCCCCTCCGGCCTCTCGCTTCCCTCCCTCCTGCCTCTGTCCACACCCCAAGCTCCTCCCCGGGGGGCTGGCAGCCACTGGCTGAGGAGTGGATGGAGCCAGGCGGCACCTCTGACCTGTCCTGCACAGGCCCCTGGTCTAAAGGAGGAGGGCGGAGGGTCTCGCACCCTCAGCCCCTGGGGGTCCCACCAGCAGCCCCGGGAAAACGGTCCTCAGTGGTGGGGTGGGGCCAGGTGGGAAGGGGAGCCAGGAACCAAGGAGGGAGGAGAAAGCAGGGGCAGGGAGAGGAGAGGAGCGAGCAGGAGAGAGAAGAGGGAACGCAGAGTGTTGGGGCCAATGCCCTCTTTTTGAAAACAGCTCCACTTTCTGGCTAAGGGACACCAGACACAGCCCTCCGCCTGCCCGGCCTCCGTCTCCCCATGGGAAGGGGGAGCTGTGGTCCTTGACTGAGATCGTCTGGTGAGGATTAAGTGAGATAATTACAAAAAGTTCACAGAGTGGCTATTTCCTCTTCCTGCCACTCTGTACTCCCCAGGCTTCTGCCCGGTCCGGTCCCATTTCCTGATCGGTCCTTCCTCCTCCAGCTCTGCCTCCTCCCCTCCTGCCTGCCCCACCGTCCTCACTGCCTGCCACACACAGAGCTGTCACACGCACTCAGATCAGCTGCATCTGCGGCTACAGGAGAGCGTGTCTCATGTTAATTTTCCAAGGTTAAATCTGGGAAAGCAGGTGAAGGGGCCTGGATAGGCTCTCAAGGAAAATCCCCCGCAGGCCTCACAGGAGGGGGCCTGCGCCTCGGGGGCGCTCTGTCCTGAGCGAGGAGCCAGCCTGCTGCTGGGCGGACATTCTGAGCTGCTCCCACCCCATGTCGGGCCTTACCGCAGACTGCCCACCATCAAACGGAAGTAGCTGTCCAGTGTGAATGAATCAAATCACGCCTTTTTTCGGTCTGGTTAGCCAAAGAAATGATTCGATTTTTGGTGTCCCACAGAATCTGAGTAATTGGTTAATGTGCGCTGGGAGGTGGGAAAAGTTGTAACGGCCACTTTAGTTCAGGCGGATGCACATCGCACGTCAACCTGAGGCTGGTCTCCCGCCCTGGGGGTGAGCGGCCGCAGACACCGGCTCTGGCCGGTGGGGTGCTGGGTCATTGGTCTCCAGTGCCGGCCGCAGGGGAGCAGAGGGCCCCTGCTCCTGCCTCCCTCTCCAGCTGAGGCCCTTGAAGGGGAGGTCTGGAGGGGAGGGGGCTCACCCCTGCCCTCCCCTGGGTGCCGGCGTGGCCTGGGACACTCCCCTCGCCCGGCTCACACGGGCCCATCTCAGACTCCCCAGCGGACACGCCGAGGCTCCGAGCTCGGTCCTCCGGCAGCCTCTCGGCAGGGGCTCAGGCCCTCTCCCTTCCTCGGCCGTGGGGGTCGGGGCGCCCTCCCCTCAGGCAGATCCCCGGGCTGAGGCGCCACCGGACTGACCGCACCGGCTGCCGAGAGGCAGCCTCGCCCACGGACACCACGCACACGGCCTGCGGGTAACCAGAGGCCCGTTCCGTGCGTCCGTGCCGCTCAGCGACCCTCACAATGACAGAAAGCGCTCTGGGGGCCTTTCTCACTGCAACAATGCGGCCGACCGCCTGCCCTGGAAGACGTCCCGCTGAAAAGCGCGGCCCGCGGCCTTCCTGACAGGCGGCCCGGCCTGCTGCCTGCCGACGCCTGACCCCAAAGACGGTACGCCCTCCGCAGGGGACCTGCGGCCGCCAGCGTGTCAGCAGCGCGTGGACCCACCGGGTTCCCCAGAGGGAGGCGCAGGATGGGGGGATGTGGCCCTACCCGGGCTGTCCCCGTCCCTGCGGGCGGGCGGGCGCCAGGCCCTCTCACCGGGCCGCAGATTGCTCTCTGCCCCGGAGGGTCCGGAGTGAGCATCGTCTGAGCACCAAGGAACAGGGGGTGGGAGCAGGAGCTGTCCCGCCCCTCCTGTGGGAACAGGTTCCCTCAGGCAGGGACGCCCATCTGACTGCAGGCACTGCAGCCGCCCCCCACCCTCTCCCCAGGCCCTGCCCCCCCACCCCCTCCCGGGCCCTGCTCCCCCCACCCTCTCCCCGGGCCCTGCCCTCCCACCCTCTCCCCGGGCCTTGCCCCCCCACTCTCTCCCCGGGCCCTACCCTCCCACCCCCTCCCGGGCCATCCCCCCCACCCCCTCCTGGGCCCTGCCCTCCCACCCCCTCCCCGGCCCTGCCCTCCCACTCTCTCCCCGGGCCCTGCCCCCCCCACCCCCTCCCCGGGCCCTGCCCCCCCCTGCCCCCTCCCCGGGCCCTGCCCCCCCACCCCCTCCCCGGGCCCTGCCCTCCCACCCCCTCCCCGGGCCCTGCTCTGCCACATGCCCACAGGTCTCGGGCTGCGCGGACGCCCACCTTCCCGCTTCATGCCCATGACCAGGCACTTCTGGTAGCGGCAGTACTGGCAGCGGTTGCGCTGGCGCTTGTCGATGAGGCAGTCCTTGTTGTCCCGGCACGTGTACAGCAGGTCCTTGCGGATCGTGCGCTTGAAGAAGCCTTTGCAGCCCTCGCAGCTGTACACGCCGTAGTGCTTGCCTGTGGGAGAACAGCCACGTGTGCGCCTGCTCCTGTGCCCCCCGCCCCCAGAAACCGGCGGGTCCATGGGCAGGAAGCAAAGATGGCCCTTGGAGAAGCCCGAGGCCTGTCCCCCCACACTGAGCCCCAGGCCTGTCCCCCCACACTGAGCCCAAGGCCTGTCCCCCCACACTGAGCCCGAGGCCTGTCCCCCCACACTGAGCCCGAGGCCTGTCCCCCCACACTGAGCCCGAGGCCTGTCCCCCCACACTGAGCCCAAAGCCTGTCCCCCCACACTGAGCCCAAAGCCTGTCCCCCCACACTGAGCCCCAGGCCTGTCCCCCCCACACTGAGCCCCAGGCCTGTCCCCCCCACACTGAGCCCCAGGCCTGTCCCCCCCACACTGAGCCCCAGGCCTGTCCCCCCACACTGAGCCCAAGGCCTGTCCCCCCCACACTGAGCCCCAGGCCTGTCCCCCCCACACTGAGCCCCAGGCCTGTCCCCCCACACTGCCCCTCCAGGCGGTCCCTTGGGGCCACGGGTCCCAGGGGCGCTGTTAGGAAGGTCTGAGCTTAGGTTCTGTTTGCATTTATGTGTCAGTAACTCGGTATTTAGTTAACCCGCTCTGCCTCCATTGGACCTCAGGTGCTCAGTAAGAGGATTTATTCTCCTTGCCGGAGGCCCCAGCTTCTCTGACAGCTCCCCAGAGGGAGCCCCAAAGACACCGGGACCCTCTCAAAGCATTACCTCCTCTCTGCACCGAGCGGCTCTGCCCTGAGTGCTCCCGCTCCCACCAGCGGGAAGAGTAAACGGACTGGTCGTCCCAGCACAACGGGCTGCGGCCGGAGCTGGGCCCGGGCCTGCTGGGCGGTGGCTTTGCTGGACCCGGAACAGCCTCCCTCACCACCTGCTCCACCATCCAGGTCCGCGGCCCAGCCGCCAGGCCAGTGTGTGCGGGAGAGCCAGCGCCCCTCCCCGCCCCCCTGCCCCCAGGCGTCCACCACCGCGCCGGTACCTGAGGACCGGTCCCCGCAGATGGCGCAGATGTGCTTGACCAGCGGCCCGGGGCTGGCCGACGGGTAGTTCATGGTCCCGAGCCCGGGGAGCCCGGCCAGCGGCTTCACGTCCTCGGAAAGGCTGACCCCGCTGACCACATTGAGCTGCGAGAGAGAGCAGGGCGGTGAGGACGGAGCCAGCCGCCAGCCCGGCCGAGGCCCGGGGAGTGCGGGTCTGCCTAGGGGGGGCTCCTCACTGAGCACAGGGGGACAGGTGCCCATGGTCCTGGGAGAAGCCTGGGCAGAAGCGCATCAGTTCTCTCTCTCCCCAGAGCACAGGCTCCGTGGGGCCAGCGCCCTGGGCTTCCTCCTCCTGGTGCCGCCCTGCTGGCAGTGCGGGGAGCTGCCCAGGTGAGATCTGAACACGCCCCACACGCACCCCTCCCTGGGGCATCAGCTCCTCGTGGCCCCGGGCCACTGCTGAGGGCTCTGTGCTTCCCAGAGGTCAGCAGAGCCTCCGGCGCGCTCGGTGCCGTGGGCACAGCTCACCTCGGGCAGCGCGGGGAGAGGCAGAGCCTACAGACCGGTCTCTGTTCCTGGCCGGGGCAGGCCTGGTGGGGCAGGACAGGCTGCCTGAGGCAGCACACGCAGGGGAGGTGGGTGTTGGAGTGACCATGGAGGCAAATTGGGGTGACCCCTCGGGGTGGAGGGGTCCCTGACCTCCGTGTGGTCGTGTAAGCTGTGGGGCACACACCCAGCCCGGTGACTGGGAATCCACCTGGACCAAAGGCGGCGTTCTGGGCAGAGGGAAGGGCGTGTGGACAGAACTCAGAGCCCAGAGAGGCGCCTTCCCCCTGCACCAGCTCAGCGGGCACTCAGCCATGGGCGCAGGGGGTGGCCTGGGCGCAGGAGGCCAGGAGGTGGCTGGGGCACAGCGAGAAGCGGGGATGGACAGCCTCAGCCCCAGCTTGGCACCAGAGCTGCCGGGAAGCGTTTAATTAACGCCCAGGAGCCCGGCTGGTGCTCAGCGGGTTTGAGCATCCGGATCCACAGGGCACAGGTCGGATCTCCGATCAGCACACATGCAAGTCAACCAAGTTGTTGCTACAGTGCAACAACAGACTGATGTTTCTCTCTCTCTCCCCCTCTCCTCTCTCTCTGTCTCCTCCCCCCCCACCAGCACTCCTTCTCCCTCCTCTTTTTATACGCCCATCTCAACCTCACGCCCAGTTTGGTTTGCTGGAACACAGTAAGCCCTGCACACACACTGGGAGCACAGAAATAATCAGACGCCTGGACACACACCCTGCCCCTCAGAGCTGGGAGCCAGTGGGCCCAGCCCTCGGCCTGTGCTGGTGCTAAGTTACCGGGTAACAGTGTGCCGGCAGACAGCGTTGCCGTGCAGTGCAGATGGCGTTCCTGTGGAGCCTCCGGGCCTGCGGGATGCACAGACAGCCCCAGTGGTCTTTGACTCAGTTTCCCCATCTGTAAACTGAGCACGGGAACACCTGCCCAAGCTGCGGGCGGGCCAGAGGAGATAATGTTGCAGAGTGCCAACTCTGATGGCCGGCACACACCATCATTCCAGTGAATCTGGTCAGTTCAGACCATCCCACAGCGTGCCTGGAACCGGGCAGTGACGCGAGGCACGCTGGCCCAGGGGCAGAGGGTTCCATTTCTCAGCTGAGGGGAGTCAGAAAACTATGGATGTTGTCATAACCCTGGATGGTTCTTATTTTTGCACACGTGACCCACTGCAGCGCGCACTGATTTTTAAGAAACGGGCAGCTTCCTATCAGTGTGAATTCTGGGCGACATTTTGTGCCTCAAGAAGCAGGTCCACCCCATGAAATGGGAGCGTTTAAGTCAGATGACCCCCACAAAGAGCCTCTAGTCGACCAGGGCCCTGACCCCTAACCCTCAGATGCTCGGAAAGGTCACGGAACAAGGAGGCCCTGCCTCCTGGGCTCAGGAAGCCATGCCGGCCTCCCCTCCTGCCCGTCACCACCGGCCAGTGTGCCCCTGCAGTGGCTGCAGTGACCCCGAAACAGCACTCACTGGGGCAGCTGCCATCGGTGCCACCGGCTCTGGGAAGCCTGCTCAATGCTAATCAAATATTTAATCTTCACAACCCTGTGGGCCTTCCTACTTTCAGACGAGGAAATTGAGCCCTAACGTGTCTTATTCATTTACTAGTGACCTGTTGCAGGAATATTCCTGCAAGACTTCCAGCAGGCTTCCCTCCCGCCACTGCCATCTCTCCCACCCGGCCCTCCTCACCCTGCCCACCCCGTACACGCTGCCAGTGCTTTCCCTCCAGCAGCGGCAGCTGCCTTGCTTTCCACTTTCCCTCCCTCTTCCTTCTATGCTGTCTTCAGTCTTCATTCCTCCCTCCACGTATGCAAATTAACCACCATCTTTGTAAGGTTAATTTGCATATCCATTCTGATTGGTTGGTGGGCGTGGCTTGCAGGTATAGCAGAGTGGTGGTTGATTTGCATATTGCTCTATTATTAGGTAGGATTCTTTCAGAAATCCTGGGGGGGCACAAGAAGAAAGACACACAGGCACTTCCTCAAGGACCTAGCCATTAACGAGATTAAAAGTTAGGGTAGTTCACTGGGACCGGTTTGGCTCTATGGACAGAGCGTCGGCTTGGGGACTGAAGGGCCCCAGGTTCGATTCCGGTCAAGAGCATGTACCTTGGTTGCAGGCACATCCCCGGTAGGGGGTGTGCAAGAGGCAGCTGATCGATGACTCTCCCATCGATGTTTCTAACTCTCTCTCTCTCCCTTCCTCTCTGTATAAAATCAATAAAATATATATTTTTTAAAAAAGTTAAGGTAGTTTAAGAAAGACCATGAGCAATTAAGAAGAAAGACCATGAGCAATGAAGATCAGGGAGGACTTCCTGAAGGAGGTGGCATCTGAGCTGGGACTGGACAGCCTTCACCATGGGCAGGATTAGGATGAGCCAGTGATGAGCAGAAGGCTGTGAGTGCCCAGGCCTGTAAGGAAGTGTGTCCGGTGGACGGATGGGGTCTCAGGGGAGGCGGCTGGGACAGAGCCCGGGCTTGACTGCCTGGCTAAGGGGGCGGATTGAGGTTGGGAGGCCAGGAGGAGCCGTTGGAGGTTCTGAGCAGAGGAGCAACGTCCTCCACCTCCACCTGCAGCACGGGAAGAGCCTGAGGAGACACACAGTCTGTCGCACCGGCCTAGGGGCCTTCCAGGCCCAGCAGGCGGGAGGAATGGCTCTCGGACCCTGGGGCCCCCTGGCCTGGCAGCCCCTGCCCGCCTCCCTGGCAGGAGCCCCTCTCCAACCCTCCTGATCTGGTGGTGGGAGGGGGTGAATAGGGCAGCTGAGCTGCTTTCAGCCCCAATGACCCCACGGAAGGCAGGTGTGTGGCCGACGGCAGCAGGAAGGTTCTCCCTTTCGAGTGGCACCTAGTTAACCTGGTGAGGGTCCAGGCCATGAGGACCGAGCCCTCCCGGAGAGAGAGGAGCCCTGTGGCCAGACCCACCCCTCCCTCACCGTGCCCGGCTGCACGCCAGAGCCAGGGCACGTCCCAGAGACTCCGGCTCCGGTCTTCACGCAGGCCAGCGGGGCTCAGACTCGGCGGGTGTGGGGGGCAGGTGAGCAGAGGGAGATAGCCTGAGAAGGGGTCGCATCCTGGCAGGGTTCAGCCAGACCTGCTTTTGTTTGAATGAATATCAGCTTTTAAACAGGATTTCACTAGAAAAGATGTGGTGGGCCTCACTTTCCTTCAGTCACCGGGCAAGGGGACCTGTGAGATCTGCTCTAGCTCTGCCCTGCGCTTGCTCTAACGACGCAGACATCTGCAGGGGAGGCAGCTACCAGGCCCCGGGCAGGCACAGGTGCCAGGGGGCCGATAGGGGCAGGGCAGGCAGGTCAGAGGGAGCGCGCCAAGGACACGCAGGCCTGTGCCAAGGCCAGCCAGCACACATCACGTACAATGCGCAGCATGCACACTCATACTCACACTACTCTCTCACACATAAACACACAGTGACACACACACACACAAACTCACACATACACACACTCACACAGTGACACACACATTCACACACACAAACAAACACACTCACACTACTCTCACACATAAACACACAGTGACACACACAAACTCACACATACACACACTCACACAGTGACACACACTCACACACACAAACACATACACTCACACTACTCTCACACATAAACACACACAGTGACACACACAAACTCACACACACACACACTCACACAGTGACACACACTCACACACACAAACACACACACTCACACTACTCTCTCACACATAAACACACCCAGTGACACACACACTCACAAACTCACACATACACACACTCACACAGTGACACACACATTCACACACACAAACACACACACTCACACTACTCTCACACATAAACACACACAGTGACACACACAAACTCACACACACACACACTCACACAGTGACACACACTCACACACACAAACACACACACTCACACTACTCTCTCACAAATAAACACACCCAGTGACACACACACACACAAACTCACACATACACACACTCACACAGTGACACACACATTCACACACACAAACACACACACTCACACTACTCTCACACATAAACACACACAGTGACACACACAAACTCACACATACACACAATCACACAGTGACACACACTCACACACACAAACACACACACACTCACACTACTCTCACACATAAACACACACAGTGACACACACAAACTCACACATACACACGCTCACACAGTGACACACACATTCACCCACACAAACACACACACTCACACTACTCTCACACATAAACACACACAGTGACACACACAAACTCACACATACACACAATCACACAGTGACACACACTCACACACACAAACACACACACTCACACTATTCTCACACATAAACACACACAGTGACACACACAAACTCACACATACACACACTCACACAGTGACACACACTCACACACACAAACACACACACACTCACACTACTCTTACACATAAACACACACAGTGACACACACACACAAACTCACACATACACACACTCACACAGTGACACACACATTCACACACACAAACACATACACTCACACTACTCTCACACATAAACACACACAGTGACACACACACACAAACTCACACATACACACACTCACACAGTGACACACACATTCACCCACACAAACTCACATACACACACTCACACTACTCTCTCACCAGTGACACACACACTCACACAGTGACACACACATTCACACACACTCACACAGTGACATACACATTCACACAGTGACACACACATTCACCCACACAAACTCACATACACACTCACACTACTCTCACACATAAACACACACTCACACAGTGACACACACATTCACACACACACAAACTCACACTACTCTCTCACAGATAAACACACACACTCGTAGTGTGACACACATTCACACACACATTCACACATACACTCACACTCACACTACTCTCACACGTAAACACACAATCTCGCACACACTGACGTACACATTCACACACACGTATACCCACACTCACACTCACACATTCACACACACAGAGTCACACTCACACAAACACACACACTGATACGCACTCACACATGCACACTCACACTCTCACACACGCACACTCACACACACACACGCACGTCCAGGAGAAGGTGGCTTGAGCCATTTTGTCCAGGAGCTGCACCTGCCGGATCCCCATTTGGTGCTTTTAGAAATCGCTCGTTCCCTCAGCCATTCTCACCAGGCAGGGCCCAGTTTCAGACATTTCCGAGTCTCAGAGCCAAGCTCAGCGAGCGCTTGCTGAAATGAACTCTAGAACCTTCCGGCTGCAGAGGACACCTGAGCCAGGGGTCACCGGGGTGCAGGGCTTAGGAACAATAGTCATAACTGGTTGCCGTGAGCATTGTAAGCACCTAAGAAGTGTTTTTTCAAATCCACATCTCCTCTGATTTCCATAAAAATCGCTGTCAGGCGATCAGGACACGGTACCCGCCAGGTCAAGTGGTGGGATCACAGTTTGCCCAGGGAGGCTCTGCCCTGCCCCATCAGCCAGTCTAGGCCCCTTCACCGCTCAAGACTGAAGACCAGCAAGCACCAGGAGAAGCTCAAACCCAGAGGAGCAGAGCTCGGGCAGGGTCTGCCCGCTGCCCCTCAGGGCCGCCCCCTGGGCCCCTCGCCCCTCGCACTTACCTGGCCGTCACGGAAGGCGCATGTTCCCGGCAAGGCCCACTCAGCCCCTCGGCCCGGGATGCTCGGGGACAGCTGCCGACGGCTCAGAGTCGCCGGCGCAGAGGGCACTTCTGCCCTGTGTCCTCTAACTAACTGGGCCAAGTGTCCTGCCGTGGATCCGGAGCCCCAGCCCACACTGGTGCCTGGGCCGCAGGCTCCGCAGCGCCTGGCAAGCTGCACGGCGCTCCCAGAGCCAAGTTCGGCCTTGGCTTCTGCACGCAGCCCAGTTGGCCAGGAGCACGCCTTCCGCTGACCTTTCAACCCCGATCCCTCTGTACAGACATTCGGGCCAGGAGCAGCAGCGCCTCACACCGGGCCGTGACGCAGACCTGTGGCCACTACGGCAGCGTCGGGGCCAGGGCCGGCCCTCCCCACCACAGCCCATCTCCGCCCATCCCCTCGCCTGTCCCTGTCTTCATGCGATCATGGCTGCTGGCTGAGGCTCGGTCCTGCACTCGCTGTGACTGCCATGCAGGGAAGGCCTTGGCCGCAGAGGTCAGAGCGTCCCCCCAGGACCCGGGACGGGGCGAGGAGCTGCCCACGGAGGACCTCGTCAGCAGGCATCGGGAGGAAAGAGCTCCGTTTGCAGTTTGCTTTGTCCCAGAGCCTCCACCTACTTCCCTGTCTCTGTCCTACTGGCTTTGCCTATTTCCCTGGTATCATTGACATGAAAGAACATAAAGGTCTCCCATTCTGAAGGGGGTGTCACCAGCTCTGTGGTTACAGGGCGAGCATGGCATTGATCCAGTCCATCCCACCGCCGTCTGGTCCATGCTCCTCTGGGCCTCCCACACTCTCCTGGACCCCACGACTGGGAGGCCACGGGGCCTTTTCTCTCGTCCCTTCGACTCCATGCCACACCACGGACAGGAAGTACAACACGGCCCCCGAGACCTTCAGGGGCACTGATTGCTCCTAAGTCTTCACATGCTTCACATGCTTCTTTGTAGAATCTCCCCATGACAGCACAGCCCACCCTGAGGCAGCCACGGGCGCTTTGGAGGCGGTGGGTCTTCGTGAAGCTGGCGTGAGCAGAGACCGCCCTGCCCTGCGCTCTCCTGACTCTGTCTGGACGAGGCCCCTCCTGTGAGGTGCCCCCAGGAGAGGTGCCCCAGGGAGCTGCTGTGCCCTGAGTCTGGGACCCGAGGGGCAGACATGGACCCAGCCTCAGCCTAGCCTGGCTCACCCACCACCTGAGCAGAGCCATCCTAACTGACACAGAAACGAGGTTGAGGGGGAAAATGTGTGTGATTTTCAACACGTGACACATTGGGGACTGGTTGTTACGCGGCATCATCACACAAGAGCCGACCACTACAAGCTGCCTTAGTGTGACATTGCTAGGAGGAAGGGAAAGGCTTCAGGCCACCCTTTGGGGCCTCAGAACAGCAAGGCGGGTTCCACCACACACACACACACACACACATACATACATACACACACACACACACAGCCCCTCCCCTGAGAAGCATGAACCAGACTCCCAGCCACGCAGTGCCCTCCAGCCCCTAGGGGGGGCTGCCCTGCTGGACACACTTCGTGGAGGGCCTGCAGGAGGGAAGTCTACAGACAACCCAGGCCTTCCGCCCGCACACAGCAGGCACCTGCTCGGTGCTGCTCTGCTCCAGGAGCACCTGTGGGAGTGGCTGGGAGCTCACTTACCTGGGAGCTGGGCGGGGCGACCAGGTTGATTCCTGGAGGGGCTGCCAGCGCTCCCGAGGGCGGCCCCATGGCAGACGTGATGACGCGGTACGGAGAGCCCAGGGCATTGAGGGGGGCCCCCACCGCACTCAGAGTCCGCGGAGCACTCACAGGGGTGTCCGTGTAGCTGGGGTGGCTGTCCATGGGCTTCCCTGTGGACAAGGCTGCCGACGGGCTCATGGACGTGGAGCCGGAGTGGCCGGGGGAGCCTGTGGGAGGAGAGCACAGGTGAGGGCTGGGGAGCACAGTGCTGGGGAGCGGCCCCAGGTTTGTTTCCTGCCTTCCCGCCCTCCCGCCACACCCGACACAGGCTGGTGGAATACAGGAAGCGAAGAGCAGAGGGAGAGACATTGTCCTGATGTTTCTCTGTCCCCACCTGCATTCCACCTTCAACTGCATCCGAACAGCCAGGGCCACGGGCTGTCCATAGGGCCCAGGTCTGGGCAGCTGTGGCCGGGCCGGCCAGCCGGGGAAAATGAGTCCATCCCACCCCAGAGGATGGAGAGCAGGTGCCGGGGGCTCTGGACTCCCTGCCTCACAGGCATGTCACATGAGAACAGGAGTCGAGAGACCTGCATGCCCTCGCTCTGGTCGTAATGGACTTTCCTTACAGTGCCGGGTGCATGCCGGGACCGGTTTGGCTCAGTGGATAGTGTCGGCCTGCAGACTGAAAGGTGCTGGTTGCTGGGGATGCAGAGCCTAAAAGAACATAATCCTCCCCCACCCGCCTCTGGCAACCACCTGTTCTCTGTCTCTGAGTCAGTTTTCATTTTGTTTTGTTTTGTGTCAGACTCCACAGGTAAGTGAGGTCATGTGGTATTTGTCTTTCTCTGAGTACAATACCCTCAAGGTCCATCCATGTTGTCACAACCCCCCCCCCATCCCTGTGTTGCCGAGTAATATTTCACTCTGTGTCTGCACCACGTCTTTATCCATCCACCCACCCACGGACACGCAAGGCTGCTGGGAGGAATGCCACAGTGAGCACAGGGCAGCGTCTTCTCACTGCAGAACTCTGTACACTCAGCTCGCTCAGCTAAGGCCTGGTGTGGAGAGCATGCTGCCTTCCACGCCTGAGCAAGTTCTGACCCCCTGGTCCAAGCAAGTCAGACTCAAAGGCTAGCACGGACCAAATAAACAAGATGTAAGTGTATGTGGACTGCAAAAAAAAAATTTTTTTTTTAAATTTCAATTTCATAGAAATGCAGGTTTATTTCAATAGAGACACGCTGAATGCAAAGAGCTGAAATAAATGAATCGTCATTAACATAAAATAATAAAGCATTTTAATAAAAATTAATATTTTCTTGAACATTAACTTACCAGACACTGAGTAACTGCACAAATAAATAAGTGTAAGGCAAATGAACCTACTTTTCTTGTTCTCTGAATGCGAAATATTTCCTGTTGTGCACACCAAACAAGTCAGTTCAAGACGAATGACATGGCCATCGGCTAAAATATTCGCTGCTGGTATTAGTGGGGAGAAACGATGTGCCTGAATGTAAGGCGCGTAAGGGAAGTGAATGCAACACCACTGTAGTAATCAGTCATTAGCTGTGGAGAGCACCTCCAGCGTTTGGAAAGGTTTGAGCTTCGGACTAATGAGAGGGCATGGTCCTCTCATGGCAAAGCCACATGCAGCTCCCAACTTGGAGGGCAAAGCCCTCCCAGCACAATTTTAGCCAAAGGCTATATGGTCCGAACCTGTGGTCCCAGGTGGCTGAGTGATGTAGGCTGCAGGAGGTTCAGCAAGGAAACAAAGTTTGATCAGGTGCATGTAATTGAGTAGATCCCAAACCTGTGAGAACATTGTAAACATCTTGATCATGCCCTTACTTTGCCTCATGGAATCTGGCTATAAAATAAAGACGGCTTGCAAGTTATCGCGCTGTCTCTCCATCAGAGAAGCAGTGTCCCACCTAGTCCCAATCTTATTCTCTTATCTGTCTTTTCTAATTCTTCATCGCCCCCCTCCCCTCAGTTCACCCACAGCCATGCTGAGCACAGCACATTAGCAAATGTAGTTTGTTATTAATCTTATATAATAAAAGCCCAATATGCTAAGTATCTGGTCATCCGTTCAAATCAAAGTGTAATATGCTAATGATATGCTAAGGCTGTTCAACTGTGCACTGACCACCAGGGGGCAGATGCTCTGACAGGTAGGTTAGCCTGCTGCTGGGGTCCCACCTATCGGGACTGAATGATATAGGCCTTCCAATGGCCCCTTCCCTCTGGCGGGTTGGCTGGACCCCACCATGCATGAATTTGTGCACTGGGCCTCTAGTTATGTATAACAGGATATTGTAAAAATTAAGTTACAAAAAAAATTTTTAATATATTTTATTGATTTTTTATAGAGAGGAAGGGAGAGAGATAGAGAGCTAGAAACGTTGATGAGAGAGAAACATTGACCAGCTGCCTCTTGCACACCATCTACCGGGGATGTGCCCGCAACCAATGTACATGCCCTTGCCCAGAATTGAACCTGGGACCTTTCAATCCACAGACCGACACTCTACCACTGAGCCAAACCAGCTTCGGCAAGTTACAAAATTTTTATTAAAACGTTTCTTACATACCGTTATACTGGCTGGGCCACAGAAATATTTGTTGTGAGCCGCATGTGGCCCGAAGCCACGAGTCTGACATGCTTGCTGTAGTTTTTCTATCTGGAAAGCTCCATCTGTTAGGGACAATTGTCTCATAAGCAGGTGAATCCGAATCACTGTGTTCCATGTCCCACCTCTGGGGAGGGCCCCCAGGTCGTGGGTGCTCAGAGGGCCACGGGGCTTCAAACAGGTCAGACACACACTGTGTGGCCTGAACAGCATCTGGCAATCTCCACACGTGACCTACTTATCCTGTGAGGGTCATTTCAGCCTTCCCTGGACAAGAAAACAGGCCTGTCTCGCCCACATGCCACTTCCGGTTCCAGGGTGCCCTCCTGTGCTGCCTAGTGAGTTCTTAGTCACCCTGTAAGCGTCACCTCCCCCATGGAGCCCCCCTGATGTGACTGGTCTGGTTTGATGCTTTTTCTCTGTTGTCTAAGGAACAGTCTATTTCTGCCTGTTCCATTAAATTGAGGAGGGCAGAGTGTCCATTTCTGCTTGCCCACCTCCAGCACAGTGCCAGGCACTGCCCGGGAGGCAAGTGGCAGAGCCCAGATTCAAACTGCCAGCCTGAAGCCCAGCTCTCCTGCCTCAGCTGCCAAGGGCTCAGAGGAAGTCTAACGCGCTCTCACAGCACCCAGCACAAACCGACCAATCAGAAGTGATCTCGAGCTGAAAGTCCATATGGACGGGCGGAGGGCAGCATGCAGGAACCCAGCCCAGCAGCATGACATCCTTCCACATGGCAATGACTGGAAGAACCGCTGTAGACTCTTCCTCAAAGCCCGGCTTTGTCCAGTAGGTCATCCAAAAGGACATCTGGAAGGATAACTGGTCTAATTAGCATATTATGCTTTTATTGTTATAGATATATGGACTTTGGACAACACACAAATTGTTTTAAGAATAAAATGAGATGCGGGAGAATTTGAAATGTTAAGTACACTGTCTATTATTATAAACTAGAGGCCTGATGCACAAAATTCATGCACTGGTTCCCTCAGCCCAGCCTGCATCCTCTCACAGTCTGGGACCCCTCGAGGGATGTCCACCTGCTGGCTTAGGCCCACTCCCTGGAGGATCTGGAAGCCTGGGAGCCCTCGGGAGATATCCCCCCAAGGGGTCCTTAGTGCTGCTGCCACCGCCATTGCACTGGCCAGCCCTGGGCCAGCTTCTGGCTGAGTGGCACTCCCCTTGTGGTAGTGCACTGACCACCAGGGAGCAGCTCCTGCATTGAGAGTCTGCCCCCTGGTGGTCAGTGCACATCATAGCGATCAGTCCTTTCCAGTCATTCCACTGTTAGGGTCAATTTGCATAGGACCCTTTTATTACATAGAATAATAAACTGTCTTAACTAGTCATGGCAGTGGGGAATGAAACGGCGAGTTCGGTTAGTTTTGCAGCAGCTTTAAAAACGTGGCTTTATTTCTACAGGGTTCGTGGCCCATTCATCACCACATTTTTTAAAACTAAAATTTGAAAGGACCAGAGCATCTTACACAAATGCACGTGGTTCTTCATTCCTCGGTGACCCAGTCGCTCTTAGAAACGAATAGCTTTGCTCTTAGAAAAGGTAGACAGTAGTAACTCTGATGACAAAGGTGTCCCAGTGGACACTCCATCCATTGTCAGGAGCGGGCACGGGCGCTTACTGCCTGTGACATGTTCATCAGCCTCTCGTGCTCACTCCCTCTCCAGCCGCACGAGACCGCAGCCGGTGCCGGGAGCACCGTGTTGGCGGGGAACCTGGTTTCTGGCCCAAACCGGAAGTCAAAGTTGTCTCTGTGCTTCTCTCTGGCCCTGCAGCTGGTGTGTGAGGTTCTGTGGGCCCTCAGCCCCAGCCCCGCGCCCTCTGCATCCTGCATGCCCGCTGCTGGGCGCCCGGAGCGCACCTTCCTGCACACACAGCCCGCCCCCCGCACCCAGCAACGCTTTCTACAAAACCAACCTGTCTGCAGAAAGTGCTGGTGTGCTCTCAGGAGCTCCGCTTCCCTTCCACCCTCCTGCCCCCTCCCCCAGCCTTCTCTCTCCCAGCAAGGACCCAGCCAGCCCAGCTTCATGAGCAGGAGGCCAGTACTGGCATCTGCAAGAAGTGGGTGCTCTGGTGGTCCCTGATGGTCTGGACCTGGACCCGGAGGCAGGCCTCCGCTGGGCCTTGGCAGACCTGCGGCTCCCGAGTGCCCGGGAACCAGAGCCGCTGGGACGCTGTGGGTGCATGGGGCCCCCAGGGCTCGTGGAGATACTGGGCTCCGGCCCGGGTGGCAGCTGTAATGACTCCGCCCCGTCAGTGCTGGGGACGGGGCTGTGTGGCCTGAACACCATCATAGGTCACGTGCCTAAAGGACTCAGCCCACGCCAGGCCCATCGAAAACGCTCCACACCGCGGCCGGCACCACACACTGGTCAGCACACCCGTGTCCATGACATTGCATTTTCTGAATGAGTGTAAACAGTCATATTCTGGGCCAGACTGCCCCTCCATCATCCCAGCCCCCCCCCGCAGGGGTCCTCATAACCCAGACTGGTGCCCAGAGATCCCCCTGCTGACCTCATTCTGAATAGCTAATGCCCTACTGGCTGCCACACAACTTTCA